GTTCATCTTCCTTCTCTCTGTATTCTGCAGCAGATTTGGGTGCTTTGAGTAGACGGGTGGGGACTGAAATTGGGGGTGCAGTGTCTTTTATTTCCCACCCCCTACCGACATCGCCAGTGCGGGGAGGAGTACTAGAAGCAACCTTACGATAATGGGCTGAGAGGCACGGGGTGCAGCCGCTATGTTTTACCGTCAGACTCGAGCGTTTTTATTGGACAGCTATTATATAGTTGTTCAATCTGTGCGAAGGCCGAGAAGGCAGCACAGGAACAAAAAGGAAAAAAAAAAAGTTACAGGCCTATTTTCTGTGGTGTCACGAAAAAGAGGCTTAAGCAAATTACAGATAAAAATGAAATAAGTACACTGTAAATTTATCCTTAGTAAAAGGATCAATCAAAAGCCGAGTTAAGTCACTAAAACAATAACTTCCATTCTGTGAATTATTTAATTAAGTAAAACACTGAGTAAGTTTTACATTTTTTCGTTTTCATCTTAAAAATTTTATATTTAACAGCTTAACCGTCTTTTCCAAGACACCAAAGATATATGTTAGCTGTAGGTTAAAGTGAGATGAGAACTTAAAATGAAACCGTCCTTCAGAAGGGAAGAACCCAATTTCGTAATGGATAATAGAGGACGAATGGATTTCAGGTAATGATACCGCACTCTGAAATCACATGGATAATGTGATATACCACATATAAAAATCCGGTATCCAAAAATACATGCCACGAGAAAGTAGGATCACGCCACTGATTCAACTGAAGACGGTTCTTATAAGAATTTTAGATGTATCACATATCTTTATTACTAATTACCACTGTAGCGCTGCATGGTGATAATGATGTTCAGAAAAATAACTGTTGTTTACTCCAAGAACCATACAAAATCCGAAACGCACAAAATTTACAAAATGCAGAGTTTTTAAATGTAAAGCACTGAGTACATATAAGTTACCACTTTGCTTTTCAAGAGTTATTAATGAAAACGGAGCCCTTCAGTAAATTGGATACATATGCTCCAAATTCATTGAAACTAGCTCATGTTATTTCTACGTCGAAAAGCGTTTCAGTTTATACGATGACTTTCATAAGTTTCACTGACGTGGGGCTTCTGTATCAATTTAGGTCCAGATACACGTTGCATATAAAAAAGTCTCTTGAAAAATAAGGAACCACTTTACAAAAAAACGAACGCTCATTGGCTACTGGAGCTTTACGGCCCCTGACAAATTCGATTAGCCTTTGACGGCCGGAGCATGCACATAACGCAATATGGGAACAGAGACAGTTCGCAAGCTCGCGCAAAGCACTCGAAAGCTTGCGACTACGTTGTCGCTTTGAAACCAACTCTACTGCTGTACCAGAAACGCCCAGAGACTTGGGGGTCAGTCGATAATGTAAATACCCTTTTGCAGCCAACTGTATTCTGTTAAGACGGCTAATTCTGTCATGCACTGTCGAACTGATATTCGATTCACTGTTCTTGTTACAGGCCACTTGGTCGCTAACACGGAATTTATGCTTGGTGAGAGCTGAAATGGCTTTAAATGACCAGTGAAAACAGCTACCCTGGAGATAAAGTCAGAGGTAAAGGTATTCTCTTTAGGTCAGTTCTTCTTTTATCAAGTCAAGGATCAAAAGATTGGAAGAGCATGTAGCCTGCATGGGAGACAATAGGAATGCATACAGAGTTTTGGTGGGCAAACCAGAAGGAAAGAAGCCACTTGGAAGACCTAGACGTAGGTGGGAGGATAATATTAAAATCAATGTTAGAGCAACAGGGTGGGGTGGTATGGACTGGACTCATCTGGCAAAGAATACTGACCAATGGACAGATCTTGTTAATACGGTAATAAATTTTTGGGTTCAATAAAATTTTGAGAATTTCTTCAGTTGATGAGTGACTGCTGGCTTCTCAGGAAGTCCTCGGGTCCTTGGAGTAAGGAAGACTTCCTTCTTTATGTCTAGCATCCTTTCTCTTGTCCTTCAGTCTTATTTCTTTGTAATTTTAAAATATTATACTTTTCCCCTTTCCCCCCCGTTCCTCAGCAGAAACCGAAGAAAACTACAGCGAGAACCTGGGGTTCGATGCCGCATCTCCCAGACACAAATCAAACGTGTTACCGCTGTACTAAATCTGCTCGTTGCTGTGAAATATGCTGTACTAAGAATTACGTATGTATGACATTCATATCGTTATCCCTATTTGTTTTTATATTAATTTAAAATCCTGTTATGAGCTTTATTTCTGGAAACTATTATTTGATACAAATATGATTGGTCTATCCATTCATTATCCAATATTTCTATATGGCTGTGAATCATGGGTACGAACTGAATTTAATTTGTTCGTAATATATTCTTGAATGTAACTGCGAAATGTTACTTTAGTCCGGTGACGTACGCTAGCAATCGAAGCAGTTGACTTCATCAGATTCGTGTGTCAAGGATTTCAATGTGATACATGAAATATAAACCTACACTGTGCAAGAGGAATATTTGTTTTAAACGTGTGAGACAAAGGACATGTGAGACACGGGACATGTGAGCAGAGGATAATGGCCTAGGAGCCTGTGGTACTGAAATGTTGGCCAAATGCTTGTTATGTCCGCAACACGAGTGACAATTACGTGGAAATATTCTGATGTGGTTTTCACCAGATTTTAACCCTTTAGAACCAAGTGGTAAACGTATGTACAGCCTGCTATAACAATAAGTAACTCTTAATTTTGTATTTACGCGTTTTATATTATTATCACAGTAAACGGTGATTGGTAATATTTCCTAAAAGACTTCAGCTTTGCAATGGTGAAACGTTGCGTTTGCTTTGACGTAGTTCCGAATTCTTAAACAGGCCTGATCATTATTTATACAAGCTTCGGCTTCAAGGAGTTAGTGCACTTGTTTCATTAAGGTCGCTGCCGTGAAGTGTGTTACTGTGAAATGCTCGATGATTATTAGTTTCTAGCTTCTTGTAGATACGGGCTTAAATTATCCGAATATATGACACGTTGCTTAAAGAAATTTAATGAAATGACTCATCAGTTACAAAAACAAATATCTCATAAAGAACAAGACCTTTTCCGAACTTGTGTAGGATTTGAGGTTCTCACAGCGGTGAGTATGAAGATGTCTGTCTTCTGGGTTGTTGCGCTGTGTAGTCTGGTCGATGCTAACCAACGTTTCAGAGGTCATACTGCCTCCGTCATCAGGGCGATGAGTATGAAGATTTCTGTCTTCTGGGTTGTTGCGCCGTGTAGTCTGGTAGAAGTTTACCGTTCGCCCTGACGATGTAGGCAGTAAGCACCTCTGAAAATGAGGTAAATGTCTACCAGACTACACGGTGCAACAACCCAGAAGACAGCCATCTTCATACTCGCAGCAGTGAAAACCTGAGATCTCACTTTGCCTTTAAGTTTTACCTAAAAATGTGTGATTCGTAAAAAACTGAGCTTCATTCGGAAACGGTCATTAGTAGTTCGGGGTGGCTCGACTTCCTTGTTATTGGAACACGTACAGATTAATCCGTAGTAGGTCCACAAAAACCAAGGCTTTTATAAAAAGAACCAAATTTTGATTCACTGCATGAATATTCTGCAATGACAGTCAACAGACCAATGTTTGTTGCAATGATGTAGCGTAAACTGCAGACTGACGGGAAGGTCCAGTTCATTGGTTTGAAATTTAAACCGCAGATTTAGCACAAAGTAGACATAGTCAGTTTAAATAGCACACCAACCTCGCTTGTTGGTTAAAGCTTATTATGGTGCAACAATCCGTGTTGTAATAATGAATGGGGCACTTAAATAGTTGAAATGCTAGTGGCAGCTCTTGATGGCGGCACAGAGCATTGTGTTTTGCGGCAAATTCGTGACGCGATTAGGGCGATGTCGCACTGGGTAGTTCAGGGACAGGAACGTTGTGGTTGGATGTGAGAGGCGGACATAGAGCAGCACTTTAATGAACGACTCCTCCAGCCTACAATACCGAACAAAAACGAGATTTACTCTCAGATCGCTACTGTTTGGCGGTGGAAAATCCGCAGAAATCAGATGAAACAGTGCAGTATCGACCTGACAAAAACGTAACGAATCTGATTCGTGTTTGGGATGTGCCTGGCGCAAATCTCGGTTGATGCAGGTCATTATAATGTTTTAAGCTGTTTCAGTTGGTTTTTCCAAACCAAATACAGGTGCAGCAGTTCAGCCTCAAAGAGACCACGAAGGTCACTACTACTCTATCATGCATAATCATTACACCGTATTTTATTAACTACATATATCATCAGTAGCTATAAAACGTCATATATTAGAATGATTTTTGAAGGACGAATTTGAATGACGTGGGAGTAAGCGGTGAGAGGACCTCCGAAATACGAAGCAGGAGCATTTAGGCCTACCGTCCAGGATCAGCTTGCAGAAACTGGGAAGAAACACGAAAATCTGCAGTCCGTTAGCTGAGATTTGAATCTGTCACCTCCCCTGTACGAAACATATTTATGTATCATCCTACTATTTACAATAAATGAGAAAAATCACGAAATCCCCAATCACGAAAGGTAGTCTACTTGTTGAGATTTGAACTACCTCGAGTGGGGACTGCCTGCTTTGACTGCGAGTTTCTGTGGTATTTCACGTCCTCTTTGGACAAACGCAAGGAGAGATCCTTAAAATAGGTCACATACCTTCCATCTCTACTAGAAATTTACGGTATCACACATTCGACAGTATATCATAAAGTCGTGTAAAGCAATGGGAATCTAACCACAGATATTGTGTTGTAAGATTTGAAATAAAGGCAGTGATGTTTGTTATATTTCTTAAATGTGTCGTAACAGTTTATTTTGATTATATCACTATATAAACAGGAATTATTCTCATTTTTATGCTTATCTTCCCTTTTAATTTCTTTCACGGATTGGTGTATCTTTAAGTATTATATGGCATATGGTTATACTTTATCAAAACTTGAAATAGAATTGTTATATTTTTCACTTACCATCGTTCTGAAGATACGTTTTTGACTATGGGCCTAGACTTCGCGTGTAACATCTCACGGGCAAAGTTAATGCTCTCTGCAAGCCAGTAACTGAAACATTAAAGGTTTAAAACAATTTATTAGCCATTCGAAAATAGGCGGAGTTTAAAAAACTTGCTGGAAAGGAAATTTTCCATATTTCAATTACAGCCAACGAAGGGATAAAGCGTAAGTGATTAACTATGCGCGAATGCATTTACAAATGCGTACTATCGTATAACGTTTTTAATCTATCAGAAACAATTCATCCTGTAATCCCGTTTTGAAATAACTCGTTAATATCGGTTGATTGGTTACAACTTCATTTGAGTTCAGATCAGCGTGGGAGGTTCATGTTTACAGAACAGAAAGTTTAAGTAATTAAAACGAGGGAATGGACTATTGCGTGATTTTAATAGACATAACCTCATCACCCCACTTGGTAGTAATAGTCAGTGCAATATCATGGAAATTTGGTAATGTTGCGTGATGTGGGAAATGAACACCACTGCAGCGTGTTTCATCGCAAAACTGTTGAAGGCAATTCTTGGAATTTTACGTCTTGGTTTATATCTCAAGGGTAACATTTACCTCACATTTAGTCACGGACGTGAAATAAAAACAAATACCGGAATAGAGCAACAATTTTAATTCAAACGATAGATGTCCATAAAGATTTCATTGTGTCGAAAGGTTATACATCGTAAACAGTTTATTATTTCTTTACACTTTAAACGCCTAAATATGGAACTCTGTGAGCATATTCTTGGACTGAAGATTTTAATGAACCCGTAGAGGTGTACACACAAACAAAAACAAATCTCGCCCTGATTTTGATAAAAATGAAATCTTTTTGATCTGGCTTTCGATTGCTTCAAAGTTCCGCTGTTGCGGATTAACGTAATAACCAAATTTCGAAAGCTACCATGTACAAACCTATTTTTTAGTATTTATAAGAGGCTAAAAGTATCACAGAACAAGGTAACTGTAATTTGTTTCAATGTATTGTCCAATCTGTGATTCTAGATGATACTTGGTTGTGGACACGTGAAGTAGTCGACATTATTACTTGTTTGGCATAAAACTGCTTTAGAAATGAAACATGTAAAATGAACTATACACTCTCCAGAAGTTTCGTTAGTGAATCAGTAATTATTACGCATTCTAGAATAGAAATAATATTATTTTTTGTGTAATGCTTTACATAAATCGTCGTTTATTATAACATAAGTTAAAGCGTCATTTTTTCCTATAAATTATTTCAATCTAAGTTTTCTAAATATACGTAGTTTAAAGCAAAGATATTTTATCGGAAAAAAGTATGACAAATGCGTTTCCTGGTAATAACATAATTAACATTTATTTTTAACAGATATAATACATTCTGCAAGAGGATTCTACCGTGAACTACCATGAACCGCCTCTTTCCACAGCCCCCCCCCCTCCAATTCGCTCCAAAAATCTTCCTTTTGCGCTAATATCCCAGGTAACATCAAACTTCATCAAATATACTAAGAATCAGTCAATAAAAGAATTTTTAATAATTTCACTAGAATGAAACTAAGTATGCTCCAACCGTCTATAACCTCTGTGAAATGTTTCCTGTTACTTTGTGGACAGTAATTTCTATGAAACTTAGTATACAAAGATACAAACAGCGGAGTTAACTAAGTCCCTCTGACGTATGCAGTCTCACGCAGCACTCCTAACAGACCGGAAAAAGTTGTGCATGTTCTAATTTGATGTAAATTTTACTTATAACACTTTATAACACCGGAAGTTTTAAAATCGTAATGGTAAAATAAATAAATTAATAACGACACTACGAGCAGCGAAACGCAACAAAGCGTTTGAGAAATAACTTTGTACCAATGACCAAAGTTCTCCACTCGAGTTACGCATGCGTACATCACCTGCCTACCCCGGACGCCTACGTCACAGGTATTTGCTTAACTCTCGCGTACAGTAAAAACAGTAGGGGATATCCTGTGAAAATTTCTGCAGGAAGAGAGAGTACTGTTAGAACAGGAGTGCATTTTGGGATCAATAGCGGTGGGCGAGCGAATTCGGTCACAACCAGGAAAGCAGGAGAAGGGAAACTCTTAAATCCCTCTTTAAACAAAATAAAACGAAGAAAGTCTTACCGCCATCAGGGAGAGAAAGGGAGAGCATTGGAGACTTGACCGTGTTGCACATAACCCGCCTCATGTTTACGGACCCGCAGTGGATTCCACCTGGTGTATAAACGCGCTAATCACTCACAGGAGTAAAGCAGAGTACAGACTCTTCAGGTGCTGCTTCCACTCCGTCTTTTTGCATGTAATTAAGCCTCTTTGAACGGATCTTAATTAAATTTCGTAATGATCGCCCTCATCAAAATGTATCGAAAAAAACTTCGCTTGATATCTGACTTCAAACATTATTTCACACAAATATGGACTCGAATCACTAATACAACATTATTCTAGCTATTTATTGTTTTACATTCAATACTGAATCTGAACGATTCATAAAGTCTAGTCTACAACTAAGTATCGCATCATTAACCCGCAGAGATTTCAGGCGTGACTGTTCTATAACAGACATCGACTGAAAATAAACCAAAACGCGTGACTGTTCTATGACAGACATCGACTGAAAATAAACCAAAATTTTGCACACCCGGTCTGATAAGGTTAGAATCCTCTGTCTCACTTCCATATTCCTCTCAGGTGTTTCTATACTTGCGGGCCCGGATGCAGCCCAGGTCATCCAGAAGGAGGAAATAGATGAATATACGTGAAATAAGGTTAGTCCACTTGTTCGCAAAGCAGATCTCTTTATTTCATCTTATCATCTCACAAAGTAGTCCTACAGGGTCGTGAGTGGTGTCCATTATTATAGAAGTCCCTGCTTCTATCCCAAGTAACAAACGACTGTCTTTATTTCCTCATTCCCTCCAATACAACGACGAATTTCGCCACATAATTTTAGAATACTTTTGAAGAACCCTGAGGCTATAAGTTTATCTAATTTCGTTTCAGAAAAGTTTTAACTTTAGTTTCTCATTGTATCGAAATGTTCTGAAGCTAAGATATCTGATAACACAGTTTAAGTTTCAACTGCGGAAATCATATAGCGTCGAATCACATACTGAGTTTCGTCTAATGGATTTTGACGGAGATGTATCATTAAACTGACGCGGATCTTGGACCTTGCACTTTGCAGTTAATTTACATTGCAATAGTTCTTTAAAAACAAATGTCATTATGGAAACTTCTATTCGCCAGATACCGACGACGCTTCAATTACAAAAAATTAAATGTTAGGCTAAATCTGCTGGAAACAGCTTATCTCAAACACAAACTGTAACTGTGATTACAGTCAAGACATATAAAGTGCAACCACCAAAGATGAACTGAAGGATATAAAAAATGTATCAAATCGAAACGCTGCAAATTGTATCTGAAGACTGCAAAATATAAGTTTTACTCTTATTTCTATAAACTTAAAGATTTCTGTCTTCTGGGTTGT